AACACTTGTCAGATTTGATGGGTCTTCAATGATGGAGTCAAAAACAGGTGTTCATTCATGCTATCTCCTAAGGTGTCGCCTTTTTGTGACCTTTTNTTTTCTTTTGTTTCCTTGGCCTTATGCATGGGCCTCAACTAAAGCCTTACTTCTGACAATAGTGCAAGAACCAATCCCTCGCAACAAGTCAAGCAAGATGTACAAGGAACATTGCTGATCTTTCCCGCGAGTGGCTTCTTTATTTGTGGGATTGGGCCGGAGAGCGCCTTGGATGGGCCAAGTGCAATTAAGAAGTTAGCGCCGAACTGCTCATTAGGGATTAGCTCCGAGACTGCCCCCGCAAATCGTACAGGTAAGACCATGTCACTCTTCCAGTATGCTGCGTCGAGCTTCTCACTTGGCTCCAGCATCTTTTCGGTAACAGAGCTGAACGTTTGAACCTGAGAGCCGGTGACCTTTGGCTGATGCTTGAAAAGGTCATTATTAAGAACCATGAATTCGTAGACTTCACCGATCTTAGCCATGCAATCGGAGTGGTAGTACAGCCTGCTTTTCCTCTCGCTTAGGGTATAGGCCATGCGGTCAATATCAATTGATTCCGTGGGATTGAGAAGATGGTATGGCAGGTTTTGACATAGTTCGTAAGTGAGCTCGGCTCATTGGCAGAAGATGTCAAAAGTTTGGGTGGTGTCTTCTCTTCCTCTTCGCCTCCATCTTCCTCATCCTCCTCATCAAAGAAGTTATTGGAAGTGGTCTCGTGAAAAGACACGTGAGGGGGCGACGTGGCATTCTCAAGAGCAGCGTGGACATTAGCGCCTCCAAAACCAGACAAGTTAACGCTAGCTCGTCGGATGATCGAGCATTTGGGTCATTGAACCATGATACGGTTTGCACATAGTTTGAGACACTCTCAATCAATCCTGGGGTTCGGCTTGATGAAATTCAGGTTGCCTGAAATTTGACCACGCTCAACAGCCATAGTGGCCTTTATCAGACCTGAAATACCGGCAGCGGTGAATACGCTGCTAAAACAGCCCTAAAAGACCAAAA